AATTAGATTGCTCAACTCATTAAAATGTCATTCAACCAAAAAAATGATTATATTTTTTTTTTTTATGGAGATACATGTATGGCCAGGCCATCAGATTGTATATGAAACAAAAGCTCATTGATATGTGTTTTATAAATCCAAAAACCAAAAAAAAATAGTCAAGATTTTTTGCGATATTTGAATTTTTAAAAATATTACACTAATTAAAAAATAATATATATATATGTATATGTATATATAATATTGTATGAAGTTTCTAAGTGAGTATTAGATTTTATTATAGAAATCACCTTACTATGCAGTTCAGATGTCGCACACAGTAAGTATCTCGAACAGAGTCTTGATAAAATTTATATAGTACAGTGAAATCTCTCTATTAAACGGAGACTGATAATATCAGTAATTCAGTCCGTCTGAGAAAATTCCTTGTTCAAAAGAACAGAAGAATTAAAGAATAACTAGGAACTATGAACAATTAGAGAAATGTCCGGTTAACAGCTTTTACTATACCAACTTAAACAAAATTGTTTTTTTGCAGTGCCGACTATAATCCATATTTCAGTTTACTAAGGTTCACAACCTTAGCTCTTTTTTTTTTGTAGCTAGATACAATCAACTGGAACATCAGACATGGTGAACTAGAAATGAATGTCAATGTGTGAGATACTTGGTTTGTCCAAAATAAACGCTGCACTGATTACTTTTTAATATTGCAAATAATTTAGTTTTTTATGAAAATTTATTCTAGATTTGATTTGATAATTTTGTATGAATTGTGGAATGAAAACGATTTTTTAATTGTTTGTTAATTGCTTGATGTGTGATAATATATTATAAATTATATTTATATTATTTATTTTACATATTTATTAAGTGCATTTTATTCCCTATTATTATATAGGGAAACCCTCTTTCATATCTGTTTTCGTTTTTTGGTGACAACAGCAATTTTACTCTAATTATGTTGAATTTAATATTATCAAATGTCAGCAACAAGATCTTTCTTCCTTTTCGCTGCATCACAAATGGTGAAAATCATATTTAATTTAATTATTTAACTACGTTTATTAACCAAAGTTGAATTTAATATCATCAAATATTAATAGCAAGATCTTTACTGTGTTATTTCACCACACCTTTCTCACCATAAATGATATTTCAAGTGATTATAAAATTAAAAACAAAAAAAAAAACAAGGAAAATTTATGAAATTAAACAATTGTTATTTATTTTTTATTTTTTAGTTTGGAAATAAAATATAGTTGTGTTTTCTGCAATTAGTTGAAAACTTTTCTATAATAGAACTTAGACATCTTTGATATATGTCAAATTCAAAATAAACAGATTGTGACAACGGAAAGTTGCATGTAATTTGATATATTGTAAAAATTATTTAACATACATACATTATTTAACATACATATTTAACATACAATTTTTTTTTATTTATTTAACAATAAGTTATCTTGAATAAGTTATCACAAACGTTAATGAATTGGCGCAAAACTCACCATAAGTTGAATATTTACTACTAAATACACCTCCTTATCAGTTGGTTACAACACAAGGTAATAGTAGACAGCGTAACAAATCTTGTTACTGATCAGGTATACCGAATTAAGTTAGTTATAGAGGCCCTATGCCCCACAAGAAGAAGAGCACTACAGTAAGTAAGTAATAACGTTATTAGTGCAGTATCTTAACGCTAACTCAGGTGGATTAATAGTAGTATATAAAACAGGACAATAATAATTTGCAAAACAAAAACAAAATAATAAAAGTCAACAATTATAATGTTATAAATATTTTATATTATCGGCCGTAACTCAACCTTGTGAAAATCTTATTCCGATCCATTTTTTTCTTCTGGTTAAATGTAGAAAAAACACAATCAAATTTTTATCTTTTCGATGGATCATAGACCGGTTTATAATCATAAAGAACTCGAGATCTTTCAAACCAATTTTATAAAAATCGGTTTATGAAAACGTGATATGTTTGCCAGCTCGAAAAATGGACTAACGAGAAAAGTAGGCTTAATATTTGGAGTTGTTTGAGTTCGACAAAAAAGTTTTCCATGGAAATGGATATATTTCCGAAAATCTTTCAAGATATATTTTTTTGAAATGTTTAAGGTTTAAAAATATATAAACAAAAACTATTTTTTTTAAAGACGAAATATCAGAACTTAGAAAAGTCAGCTCAGTTAAAAGTAATTTTTTTAGATGTCACTATTTTTCATGAGTTTCTATTTCTGATCATATTTGTCAAAGCCAGCATTCAAAACTTGAGAGATGAAGAAGAGTTTAAAAGTAGAAAATAAATTATATCTCGGATTTTTGAAAGGAAAATGTACCTATGTTTGAAAATATCTGCACTCGAAAGGGTGCTTTTTACCTATTGTACTTCTCATATATTAATATTTTAATATTTAGGTTCCTCCGCAATTCTAAAATTGACAAAAAAAAAAAAAATAAGTAGACTTGAGTATTTAAGTAACACAGCCGTAATTTGTGTTCCTATAACCTGATAAGCGATGCCAGGTCCGACCTTGGACATGTCAAGATTATTATATATATAAACAAGCATGGCACTCAAATTTGAAAAAAAAGAGATAAGTAGTTCCGGTGTACTTATTAGCTGGAGTATAAGTAAGTATTACTTATTCTTATTTATTGATTTATTGCTCCATACTACACAATCTGGGGCTGAGTTTATATAGCTCAATAAGCGGTCAAACACCTTCCGACACTAAACATACCAAGTTAACTGCAGTTCTTAACTTAACACAAGACTCAAAGTCACCAATGTAAGTAACTATTGACATTATTAAAAGTTTTATCAACCTAAAAAAAACATCATATGATGTGTGATGTATTTGACCGATATAGATTTAGATAACTGAAACTTTGAATTGATTTTCTTATGACGTGGCTGATATCATTAGATGTACGAAGTTCAGAGTAATAAAAATAGAAAATCCTGGCATATTACTGATGCATTATATTTAATTACTGTGTTATCAAATCAATATGAACCACACATTAAACCGCCTTATAAGTTCATCTCAATAATAGAGTTATATGTCAACAATAGAACTATATTGGAAAAAACAAACACTTTAATGAGAATGAAGAATAGATGTGGCCTCAGAATTAACGACTTCAAATTGAAAACATTTCATTAGTATTAAATAACTAACAACAAGAGAAGATTTGTAGCTACTAATGAGACAGAACTTATCGTTACTGGACATATCTATCATATTTAGCTAGAAATGTTTAATGGTTGTAGAAGATATATAATTTTTAGAATTAATTTATCACAAAATCACTAAATCAGAAACGTTGGAACAGAGCAGACTATGTTAGATTTGCTGGTAGATTGCAGAGCTCTTTATATCAACAACTTTTGACTTAAATATATAACTTAAGTGTCATTATAGAAATTCTGACAGAGCACGGTAGATTAAATTATTAGCTTTAAGAACTAAAAGTTGACTTCAGAATTTTTAAAAATTCTGAAAATTTAAAAATGAACTTTCATATTTTCTAAAGAGGGGAATGAGATTATAAACACATGCTAAGAACTTGCCCGGAAATAATGTGTAATAGAAAAGAACATCTAGGTGGGAAACCGTTATAAGTTTAAAAAGAAAGACTCGATAAAGTAGGCTTGATAATACAATTTATATAGAAAAGTGTATTCAGATAAGAAATCTCAATCCATTATAATGGCACAATAGAACTTTAGGTTGGAGTGCGGAATTACCCAACTTAATAGGAAGTTATTTTTTATCGAAGGAAATGAAACAGTGATGTAAAATTTGTTTCAAATGATTTCTACAAACCTCAGAATATTTGTATAAGATTGAAAATTCAAAATACTGTAAGTACGAGTCTTCGTTCTAGTACAACTGGAGAGCAAAACTTTCTTTATGATATATAAAAAGAAATTATAACATATAAACTATAATGAATATATTATATGAAACTATATGAAGAATATATTATTATATGAACATGTATACATTATATAGTATAGTTTTATAATACAAACTAATCATTTGATAAATAAAACCTCAAGTTTAATGAATTCAATATGCCAATATGCCAAGCTCTTTCTAATTTAAGAAGGTTATAGCATAGATTTAAGATTTGATTTTAAAACGCAAATATTAATGGATTGAATATGGCTATAATACAAGCTCTTTCTAGACGATTTCAACCTAACCGTAGGAAAAAACTTCGAATTTTATAAATTTAAGAAGATTATAGCATAGATTTAAGATTTGATTAATAAAACGCAAAGATTAATGAATTGAATATGCCTTTAATACAAGCTCTTCCTAGAAGATTTCAATCTGAGCTTAGGGAAAATATTTAAATTATTTAAATTTATAAAGATTGTTGACTAATTCAAATAAACATTGTACACTTAAGCTGCGATATGACATAAAAATGAGATTCATTTGAATTGTAAGTGTATACTTTAGTGTGCAATATCAAACACTTAAGGTTCACTTAAGTTATGTATGCATAGTTAAATGCATAACCCTTACGCCGTTTTCGATGAATAAATCTGGGTTAACTTTTTCAATTAGAACTCATTTTTAGCGCAATTTCCATTTTTAATTGGTAAATCTCGAGAGAAATATGTAACACTTATAACATTCTAGATATTTTGTCAGAGTAACCAAATTACTCCCAATATAACAACTATTTTATATAATTTGATAGCTAAAGTATGAGTTCATGTGATTTCAGTTACGATATAACTTTCGATTGGGCAATAAAATTTGTTAGATCGGGAGTTAAAGTTACTTTGAATACAGATTTACCAATCAAAAACGCCATTAGTCTCTAATATTTAGTGTTCAAACTGGATATCTAGATATCTATATATCTGCCGCCGGTTTTTATCAAAGTTTATGCTATGGTTATTGTTAATTTCTATATTAAACTTATGTTATTATCCTGGAGATGGTGTAATATACTCACTTATCACGTCATGTCCATGACAATCTAGGTCCAGGTGATGATTCATCACCAGCGACGGCTGTAATCCACTTTGACTGTGATTGTGCAGGGGTAGCTGGTGAGCCAAATGGCCACCAATCTCTGCCATTACCATATATTTGGCTTAAACAAGGCGTTTTGCTGATAATGAAACAGTATCAATGGCGAGTTAACTTCTTCACTTAGTAACTTTCCGTAGCTCACCCGGGAATTGCGAGCGCGTTAGTCTGTTAGGGACAATATCTAACAATTTTATTGGTTTACTTTCGTGAAGTGAAGTGAATAATACGAGTTTGATTTGTTTTTTCTTTAGGTTTTAGGCTTACTTTATGAACTTAACTAGCTTTTTTTTTTTTTTGTTTATTAAATTAAAGTGTTATTAGAAGTTTTTTTTTTTGATGGTTTTATGATGATTTTATATATTTATTTATTTTTCTTTTTCAACCCACTTTATAGGTTTTCGTTATGTTTGAGCAAATGCAGTATAGTATAACTTTTCCATAAATTGTGTTGAAAATTTAAATTTTTTAAGGCACTTTCAAATTCTTACAACAAAATCTTAAACATGAAATAAAATTAAAACAAATTTTTTCTTTTTTTCTTTTTTGTTAATTCATTTGACTTGTTTTTTAAAATATTTACATTTATATTTGCAAGTGTATACGCGGTTTACCCCTCTCTCGTATCGCAGAGCTGTCGAAAGCTGCTTCGACATAAGGATTTGACACAATGAAAGTTCAATGCAACGGGAAGTTAATTTCAAAGATGATAATAATAAGATAAATTTTTAAATACTGCGGCAGGCCAGCAGCTAAGCATACGACGAGCACAGGTGCGGTGCGTTTGTAAGTAAGTATCTCTTTCAATTCGTTGCTAACATTTGATTGAATGCGCTTACAATATTAAAATTGTTCGCGTTACACGCTTCCGCAAAAATACACAAATTTCTTTGCGAGCGATTTCCGATACAGAAAAATACACAAACTGGCGCACCATTTATTTTTGAACTGAACAACACTTTATTCCGTACGCCACAACCATGAAACATCTGCGACAAAGTCTCACGAACGACTAGAACAGTAACGACATTCGGTGGTACAAAATAGAGAGAAACATGAATTTGTTTCACCGTTGCGAGTTTTTCACACCGCACACCATACACCACACACCACACATCGCTTGTATTGCTGCTTAAACTGCTGCTGTGTTTTTGAGCAACCAGTGTGTGTGCCGGCCTCCCTCCTTTTTTTGTTTTTTTTCTGGTTTTTTTTGTTTTTCGAAAATCATGCTATATTGCTCACATCGTACATGTTACGTACGTGCGTTAGAACAGTCCAGCTATTTATGAGTACTGCAAAGCTGCTGACTACTCAAGTAAACGAAGTCGAATAAGAATTGGTTTCAAATGTTTATTCATTTGGTGGGGTATTGTACAATTTTTAGGTTGAGCAGCACTATTGTTGGTACTGCTGCTGCTGCTGCTGCTGCTACTTGTGCATTGCATTCTATCACAATTCGAAAAACAGGTGTTGGTTATTGGTGTTGTGTTGTGTTGTTGCTTTTGCTTTTGCTGTTGTTGTTACTGTTGGTGTTACTGTTGGTGTTGCTGTTGTGCTCTTTTCAGAATTTCTTGCTTTGTGAATATTTGAATTTGTTTTTGTTGTTATTTTTGTTGTTGTTTTTATGCACTGACGTGCACTTGCAATGGCGTCGAATCGGGCCAATCGCCTGAAAATACTTAGCATGCGCATATCTTTTCAGAGCAAATGAGAGACCAACCTCCCAATCAAGAGTGTTGTCTGGCACTTAAAAAAGAAAAAAAAAACTATAACCAGATGTTTGTAATGCGGATCAATGCAATTTTGATACCATTTAATATTTTCTCAGTACATAACGTTTCTACACTCTTCTGAGTTAGCAGTAAAAATCTGTGGTTTTCCAAAGGGTTCTATTTCATTTTCTATAGCAAAATATGTAAATTTTAGATATTTCCTTAAAGGTTCCTTTTTGAAACATAATTTTGTTCTACAATATTCCAATGTTTGAACGAAAAAAAAAAACCAAACAAAAAAAAATAATTTAAACGAGCAAAAAGCAAACTAGCACAACTGGGGAATTATAAATCGAAAAGAAAATGGAGAACAACAACTGTTGACTGAGAGTTTTTATTGATAGGTGTTTAAATGTATGTGTGTCTAAACGTCCTTTCTTTTGAATTTATATTCTTGGTAAATAAATAGTTTCCTGCTATAGCTTGCCAACTTGCCAACACAAAAAAAAAAATATAAAGTGTGCGTGTTTGTAGCTTCACAGTGTTGTATAGTCAGTTAAATATTTTTTTTTTTTCTGTATACTCTATGCATGTGTGTGTGCATTAGCTGTTGTAAAATTATTAGTGTGTGTAAACGTTTTGACAAGGAAATTCGCACCATTTGCCAAGTTTGCCGTATTTCGAACATTGTTTTTCAAAATGGTTGCACTTGGACAACATTATGCCTAACTTATTTTTCTATGTTTTGATTTTGGTTTCCTTAACCTTTCTAAATGTAGTATAAACCAAGCTGAACCAAGTATATATATATATATATGTCGGTATGTTGGTTTGTACTTATCGTACTTGCGTTTGGATCGAATAGCGGAAATTTCTGGGTTTGGTATTTTGGCTGAATGATTACTTGGTAGGGCTTTTCCCAATTTTTGTTTTTTGTTTTTTTTTGTTTTGTAAATTTTTAGTTTCATTCAGTCCTGTGTGTTCGTTGTCGGCATGGATACATCACTACATCACATTAATTTCTGATCTTTTGGCTTCATTCCATCTCTTTGTACAAAAATCTAGTTTTGGTTTACTTTGATTTGTGGTAAGTTAAATTGTTAAGTAATCGAATTTTCAAAATTCAAGATTTTTGATATTTAAATGAATCATTTTTAATATATTTTTATGTTTAAGCGATTTTAAAGGCTTCATGCAGTTTCTAAATTTTTGATATATAAACGAAACATTTTTAATATATTTTTTTATATTTAAGACCGTGTGCGAGTTCGAGTAAATTGATGGTAAATTGAGGGAAATAAGAAATTATGTCGGTATGGCAGGAAATGTTGGTATTTACCAGAATTACGAGTAGGCTAAATTAGATAAGAATTGGGTAAATTAGGTGTTACCATTGTAAAAATTTTATAAGATGTTTAGGACGTATGCGAGTTAGGCTAAGTTGCGTTCTAAATGAGGGAAATACTAAGATGAGCCGATAATGTAGTAATGTGTCGATACGAGTTGATAAATGGCTAAATGTGTGCAGTGCAAAAAATTCCAAAAAATCTCCCATTTGGTTTAGCATCAACTTAGCCTAACTCGCACACGACCTTAATAAATAAATTTGAAAATTTTTTGAAAAATGCAATAAATAAATAAATATTTACATAAGTGCAGTGCAAAAAATCTCTATTTACTTTATCTCAATTTACTCGAACTCGCACATAGCGTAAGTAATTTTTAATTATTTTTAGAGACGAAAACAACTTTTGAATTGTAGCTTTATGGAAATGCGGAATTTGTGGCTAATTGACATTTGACTATGTTTTATGATTCTTACTTCTTAGGTAATTCATTAGCTTTTGAGACCTGAATTTATCCTCAACAATAATTTAGTTAACGTTATCGCTAATGCTATTGAACATTTCAATGGAGTTTCCTGATGTTTAGCGATGCACTAATTTTTTTTTTTTGTTTTTGACCACATTTAAGTACATTTTTATAGATTTTTTTTTGCTTTGACACTGACTTTATACTCAAGGTCGGTAATATACTATTAACTGTGTTCAAAGTTTCATTTGTCTGCCTACTAAACGCTTTTATTACACACTTCTTCTCATACGCGCGCCCACACTGAGGACAAATCAGCTGTTCAAATTGTTCAAAATTTAATTAGGTCCGTCCGTTCATTAATTGGGTTAATTGAAGCGGCAGTAAAAGTGTTTTCTTAATTAGGACATATCACTCAAATTAGTTACAGGCTATTGTTATTGTTTTATTATTACTCCACGTTCATTGGTCAGTTCTAATAGCACAAGAATACTCAAACACACACACAACCACATGAGCATACACACGAGCGTAAACGACACACAAGTACACGTTCCACACGTATGTATTTATGTAAGCAAGCATCCTTTGCATGTATTTTTAGAAGTTTTGAGCAATTCTATTGAAAAGATTGGTAATCGTTTGATGTATTGTTATTGGGATTGTTTTGGTAGACAGTTTAAAATCTAATTAATATTGATCCCCAAGATGAGGTTTTGCCAGAGTTAACAAAATAATGTGATGACCTCTTTTGACTGAAACCATTATAACCATTATCTATAATTGCCATTGTTAGAGATTAAAAATTGTGTTAGTATTTTATTTATTTGAAGTCATTTGAGTTAAAATGAATTACGATTTTAATTTTAATTTTAAATTTTGAAATTGTGAATTCTATACAAATTACTATTATAGTAATAGTAATTATTATACGAGTGCAAAGTGTAGATTCTGTGAAGAGAATGAGGAATCGGTCACACATATGCTGTTAGAATGCCCTGTGCTAATGCACATACGTTATAGACTCCTGGAAATGTGTATACTTACAGAAGAGGCAATAAGACTCTGTAAAGTAGGTTTAATACTACTTTTTATTGACGCAACAGGGCTTAGAGACCTACTCTAAACTCAGAAGAGGGCACAATAGACCCGACGGTCGCAGTGCCACATCCCCAAATGATAACAATAATAATGCTATTTCGCTTCTATAGTAAAATGCTCCATTACTATTTTAGTATAGTAATGACACTAGAACAATAGCGGACACAAGAAAAAAGAAAAAAATAGATAGACAAGTGCTTACAACAATCGGATTTAAAGGTTTGCGTCAAATTTGGTCCAAAAAAATCCCTAAAACAAATTGCACATTATAAAATAATATTTTTTTTGAAGCATAAAGACTTTTTGACAGTCAGAGACGTATACACAGAATCTTTAAAAAGGAAATCCATACAAGACAGTAACTTTTTTGTAACACACAAAAGTTTTTCGACAGTCAGGTACGTATACAGAGATCTAAAATTCAAAACTAAACTCATATTAATATGAAAAATCTTAATTAAAAAAAATTGCATTATATTTTATATGAAATGGTTCGAAATATTTTAGAGGAGTTTTAACTCCAAAATGCGATCTAGGCAATCTTCTCCTTAACCTTAGAATATACAATTTCACTCACAATAGATTATAATAAAGTTTAACTTCCGGGATATCTACAAATAACCAACTAATCAATTATCTGTCAAACACAGTTAAAAAGGAA